TGCTCTGGTTATTATTACATTCCTCTTTGACCTTACTATCAATTTTTTTCAATGTTCTTTGCTGCGGTTTACGTCTTCGTGGGGTACAAGGACTCCTTAAGGTATTGTGGTGTTGTAAAGCAGCTGGAGTTACATTACACAATTTTCATTTCACAAACCAGCCTCGGTCTCGAGAAAGAGATATTGGTGTGTTGAAATTCCTGCACGCTTGGGCACTGATAATAAGGTAATTGGATGCCTTCGGAGTGGCTTCGTGGAAGTACCTTGGAAGCCGACGGATTAATGGGAGCGTAGCAAAGCAAAAAACAGTTCTGTACTTTTATTTATTGACTAAACACTGATATCTGAATAGCTTTTCAGTTCAAGCTTGAGATACACTTTTCTGGTTGCTTTATTTTCAAACAATTTAACCGAATCGGATGGATAGATGTTTACATATAATGTGTATGTACATCTGTCTGGTGTTCAAAGAATTCCCTATTCCGTTTATTTTTTAAAGAATTACTGAAGAACTGAAAGAAGTCACTCGGAATTACAATCAACTACTTCGAGATGAACTTGAAAGGAGGGAGACCTACATCGCAGCACTTGAACGACTGACGTGAGTGCTCACACAGAGCTCTGATAACCACTAAGACCTACTTCCACTGATTATCGGTGGAGCTGCCAGCTTCATTTACTCACAAACCTTAAAATTTCATCTCCTTCTTAAGTTCAGCCGTAAATATTTTCATCAAAGTTTATATTTTCTTCAAAACTCAAAGTCGGTTCTAGTGAAAGCAACTTTGCGTCCTCTTCAGTAAATCTTCATTGTCTTTGAACGACGTACTTGCATCACCTGCTCTTGGTGTTGGCGAAGGAACTCATATCTACGCTGGCATTTCCAATGGCTTCCCTCCCCTTTCTAATTGGTTAAGCGAACTTGGAATCCCCATGAGTGAAATTGAAATAGTAAGGAATACCCCCTAATCCTACATAGTATCCCATAATTTTTGATAGTGCTTCATAGAGTCTATTACTTCCAGATTATCAATCACAAAATCGACCCGAATGACTTCCTGGAGTTGATTACAAAGGACGACCTCTGGAGATTGGGACTCAGGCAAGTAGCTAAGGTTGAAATTGCTCTCATAGTCTTTCGGCCACTTTTCACTGAGCCTTTAAGCCTTTTCCACTACGACTACGTCTACGTAAGGCTTGGCTCGTGCAAAATGTTTTAAAGCCTGTAATTCTGCTTCAAAAATTAGCAGACAAGCACACCGCTGTGGCGGAGAGAGTTCTCTGGGAAATCGTTAGTTATTGCTACGAAAATGTACGAGTAGTAAAGTAGATACGTAAGACGAACCGGAACAGCGATGTGCGTAACTGAATAGTAAGACCACACGCCTTTAGGGGTGGATCTGTGTTGCGAATTTGGGGTGCCGTCTGCAAACTCCGGAGGAAATTTTTATCCAGTCAAAGGAACGAGGAGGTCAATCCGCCAGCTGGATCTGACTACTCATGATCGCGCCTCCTCTTCATCTCTTTGTGCGTATGTGATAAGACTTTACATTTCTGTTTTTGTATAATCCATAATGCCAAAGGTTTTCATTATGCTGCACATTTCCCACCTTGACTTCTGAGAGTACTGTTTATCCAAGTAATGTGGATGAATTTGGTTGTTTGAGTGACAAGGGCTTCACGAGGGGTTTAAATTCTTCAAAGAATTTTGAATTGTTAATGTTAATAGGCAAGAAAGTTTCAGCAGGTCCTCTGGAAAGAACAGGCGGAGGTCGGACCTTAAACCCTACCTGTCAATGCCTTCGACTAGTTAAATCTACCAATCACTTGAAAGATGGATTGTGGTGCCAGATACAAAGGGGTTCGTGTTAAGGCTAGTTGTTTTTCCAGTTGAACTCATTTTACCACAAGCATCCTCACAAAAAATTGTACATTGCGTTACACCTAAAGAAACGAAAGGTCGATGTAGTGCTGAAGCGAACTTCACTCCTCTTCGAATTATGCATTTGTTTGTTCAGTCTACTTTAGTTCAATCATTGTCACATATTGTTGTTTAACAACCTGCCGCTTATATTTTCGAGTTCGATTGATTGTGTGCGATGGAAAGAGGTTTATATTTTTTTAAATTATCCATTTTGTTATCAGAAATGTATTTAGAAACGATTAAAGAGCCGAGTG